AGAGGACAACAAACGAGGGGCTGTGACAAACTGTTTCGTCGGAGTTTCACCGACTCATCTGTTTGTGACGATATATATGACGATACCTACCGTTTATATATGTATATATATATCACCACATAATTAGCAGAGCGCAAAAGCGAAAAAAAATAAATAAAAATAAATAAATAAATAAAAAAGATATCATTTTCTTTTTTCTTTCTTCCTTACAAGACTCCCCCTGTTCAGAACCTCTTGCGTACAAGGCCGCCCACGTGGATGTAGGTTGAGCGGCGGCTGCCCCCACCCCCGTGTGTCAAATGGACCTCATCATGAGGTATATATATATATATATATATATATATATATATATATATATATATATATATATATATATTAATCGGTGCAGTGCTGCAACAAGATGACGGCGATGGCTTGCGGCCAAACGCATGCCCAGCGTAAAGGTAGTCACTTCCACCTACATGCGCGAGCTCTATGCCTTGCGTATGACGTTGGATCACTGAAAACACTATCTTTTGGGACGCCACTTCAAAGTCTTCTCAGATCATGAAACTTTGAAGTGGATCAAGCAGTATATATATATATATATCGTCACATATATATATATACTGTTTGTGATGATATATATACGATATATATATGATATATATACGATATATATACGATATATATATATATAGGGTTCAGCCTCCTGATGAGTCGGTGAAACTCCGACGAAACAGTTTGTCACAGCACCTCGTTTGTTGGTCTCTTCTCTCTCTCTGCCTACGGTTTACCGGGCAGTTCTGTTTGTGACGCTATATATATATATATATATATATATATATATATTTGTGACGATATATACATAACATGAATATGAGAGCGCAAAACCGAAAAAAAAGGAAAAAAATAAAATGAATGAATTCGTTTTTTTTTAATATCTTCATCCTTACAACTCCCCCTGTTCAAAACCTCTTACGCACAAGGCCGCCCACGTGGATGCAGGTTGAGCGGCGGCTGCCCCCACCCACGTGTGTCATATCGACCCCTTGTTCAGACCCTCTGGCATACAAGGCCGCCCACAAAATGATCTCGTTTTTTTATCTTCTTCCAATTTTTTTTTTTTTTTCTCTTCTGTTTTTTTTTTCCACCTTTCCTTGCTTCTTCAGAACCTCTTGCGTACAAGGCCGCCCACGTGGATGTACGTTGAGCGGCGGCTGAGAGAGAGAGAGAGAGAGAGAGAGAGAGAGAGTGTGTGTGTGTGTGTGCGTGCGTGCGTGCGTGCGTGTGTGTGCGTTGTCATATTCGCTATAAACTGAAATAAAGCATGACTGTGGCAGACTGTCGGACTTTCACGGACTCGTCACGACGTTCAACAGTCTGCCCAGGATGCATATGACGGTGTGTGTGTGTGTGTGTGTGCGCCTTCCCGCTGTCAAAAGCCCGAGCTTTCGACCATCTCTCTCTCTCTCTCTCTCTCTCTCTCTCTCTCTCTCTCTCTCTCTCTCTCTCTCTCTCTCTCTCTCTCTCTCTCTCTATCT